GTGGGGTGTGTTACTTTTTTTCATTTCAAACCCGTCTTTTATATCTTTATTCTCTGGGGTTGTTCCGCTCCACCCGCCCCACCCCCCCCCCAGCGTTTTTTTTTTTTTTTTTTTTTTTTTTTTTTTTTTTTTTTTTTTTTTTTGCCGGAACCTGGATCTCAATAACGATCAATCAAGGTGTTCTTAATTGCAAGGACATTCAAGCAAGGGTTCAGCGCAGTTTCCTGACGATATTTTGCTCTGCCACTTTCTTGCCGGTTATGCTGTTGAGCACATGAGAATGAATACCCGACCCAACATCTTACTTCCAAGAAACCTGTTCCGAATCATCCCGACCAGTACGTACCTCACGAGGTCACTTGGGTTCCTCGCATCCTGGGCTCCGGTTTCCAGCAGGAACAGAATAGAATCCCGGATCCAGGGTACTCAGATTCAGCAGGCAAATTGCAACATGTTTGGGACGGAGGTGTAAAGTTTAGAGTTTTTTTTTTATTCCACTTTCTTCTATTTATCGCTTGCGTACAGCCAACCCCCTAATAGCAATAGCGGAGGCAGTGTAGACTCGGGTCAGCGAGCTTCATGCCCCTCACAGGCTCCTCCAAACTCTGCCGTCCAAGACCGTCCCGGACAGTTTTCCATGTCCTTGCACAAAACCCGAATGCGCCTGGATATATAAACAAAAAGAAAGGCAGTCCTTGCTGGTGATAACCAGAAACGGTATACTGCCGAGGTCCCGTATTTTGTGTTCCGATGCCGTGCCGTGTTCCCTTATCCTTTTAAGTGCGTCCCAAAGCAGCTGTTGAGTGTGAACACGATGTCGCATTGGTACAATTTCCATCGTACTCCTGTGCGTCCCTGTCGTGGTGTCCCCCTGCTTAGTATCACTGGTTTGTTGTCGAAACCGAATGACCCCCGTCAAAGTCTGGACTATATTCTAATCTTGACAGTTAAGGAAAAATAAGACAAGAGGGAATGCTTCCATCCCATTGCTCGTCATGTTTTCAGTGTGTATGGGGGCCACACGCTTAGGCAAAAGCTGCGGCACCACCAGACTCAATCGCCTCGATCTCGTCGAGAGTAAGAGAGGTTCTGTGGAAGCGGGTGGGCAGGTCGTTGCGGTCAAAGTAGTAACCCTCGGGAGGGCTTACTGGGCCAAGCTGGGAGCCAGCAGCACCGCCAATGCCGGACTCGAGCTTGATGCTCTTGCGGAGGGGACCAAACTGCTGAGCATGGTCACGGTAGGCGCTGAAGGTGGTGTGGGAGGATCCGCTGGTGAAGGATGCGGGGAGGGAGTGGGTGGGGGACTGGGGGTGAGGCTGACGGCTGTGGTCGATCGACGCTGTGTTGAGCGATGGTTGTTAGCTGACCGAAAAAAAAAACCCCCGAAGTCTATCCCCATGCAGTTCCCGAGGGAGAGACATACCAGGAATCGTGCGCTTTCCAATGAAGCGAATGGAAGGGCTGCGCTCGGCGTGCTGAGCAGCCTGGCGGAGGACTCTGGTGGCAAACATGTTGGTGAGGTATTATTCGGGGTGTTGGCCTTGTGTTGGGGTGACAAGAGATTTAGAATCTGGTGGTGGTTGGCGAAGCTCCGCGTGTGCCGCTCAACGTTTTTTTTTTTTTCTTCTCCTCACAACGATGTCTGTTCTGGACGGGAATTCGGATCCTTCGGGGCTAGTAATGCCACGAATGACTTTAAAGGCGAAAAGGACAGGTCGAAGGAGGAGAATTGAGCGGCTCGCAACTTGGATGCTTGAAGCAAAAAGGAAATCACAAAAGACGCTCGAGGGTATGGGATGGTGCGGGACATATATGTGGGATTGGGGGGGTTGTTTCCCAGTTTGGGGCATCAGAAAAGCAACCCCACGTAAGTCGGGTCTCCCTGGCTTGTCCAACCAGCTCCTCCCTTGGCCCGTAAAACAGGTCTGGGGCACAAGGGCCCCCGAACTCCGGAGTGGTGGGCTGCAGGACCGGCGGCGCCAAAACCACGCCATTGCAGCATGCCCAGCCCTGTCCCGTTTCTTTCCGCGGCGACTGCCAAAAGCCCAAACTGAACGAGGGAATTGGACATGCGAGCGACTGAAACTCGACAATTCCGCTACGACTACGACTGTGACGGCTCCGCTGTTGCACTGGATCATTTCGCATTATTTTCCTATATACTACCACCTCCACGTCCTCGTCGGCTGCCGCCAGTATCGTGCCGGATCCCCCTCATTTCCCTCCCCAACGTTTGCCACTGTCAACACACACCAGCTTATTTGCCATGTGTTTGATCGGACATGGTTTGCGGCCTGCCAGTTTTTTTGTTCACTTTCACCCCACTTTCATCAAGCCACCCAACTGCAAGCGGGAAAGGCTTATCTCGCGTCCAGTTATCCACAGGTTTAATAATCCAATACTGTCAGCGCTGGCCTTCAACCGGTGCGCCATCCCGGGACGCCATGAGGTGATTCTTGTTGGGTTAGGTGTCAAAATACGGATAACCCCCTGCCTGCTTGTGGTGCCTACCAGCCTGCCAGGCAGATGCTCGACTGGTCTTCTTCAATTGCCCCGCGCTAGCGATTTATCAACGTTGCTTTCGTTGGCGGGTCATCAGCCCGAAACGAACAACATTGCATGTCGACAATGCAAAATCAGGTCTTGTTCACACATCTTGTTGAAGTCGATTATTTAACATGTGGATTTACACCATGCCTGGCAATGCATGTGAGACAGAGCCATCCGTGCTGCCATCCCATCTGCACTCCATCTTTTCCACTACCACGCCAATTCGTTCTGGTCGTCCATCCCCTGTCGCTTGGCAATGCCCTCTTCCCATTCGCACCTGTTAAAATGTTCCGAGATATCTCCCTCTTTCCGCAGTCGACCGCTGCGAATGTTGCGTAGTCTGTATTGTTGCTCGAACGCAGACCTGATGAGTGAGGATGAGACCACTGTCTCATCGCAATGCTCATCGATGATGCCAAGAATGGAGAACCTACGTCACTGAACCGCAGCGCAGCTTCGAACCTACCTATCCTGCACAAGTGTCCTTCAACATCATTTACGTAATCTGAAATTTTAAATCACCCTCCGATATCGCCTCACGCTGTTTAAAAATCATACCATCAATCACCTTCAATACGGAGCAAACCTCTCCGGCATTGCACAAACGTATACATTTATAAGCTGCCTCACACGAGAAGAGGTTCGCAATAATCATTTGTCAGGGGCAATTGTCAAATACGCCCGACTTGGGACCCATCTTCATTCTGAGTTGCCAGCTTCGGATGGCGGGTGTCTTGGCGTCCATTTGAGACGCCGACATATTCGGCCCGGAAGGTCTCGGACAACAAGGTTACGGCTTAAACTGGGGGAAATTTAAATGCGAACTGCTTTTCACCCTCTCGCTTCGGGCTCCGAAAAACGCCTCTTCACGAGATGGATCTCAACCGCAAACAACTCAAAGCCCGATTAGCTCAGCTGGTTAGAGCGTCGTACTAATATCATCCTTGAAGGGTAATATTTGGTGATGCGAAGGTCAACAGTTCAATCCTGTTATTGGGCATTGCTTTCTCCTTTTGCTAATTCTTTCTCTTTTTTTAATTTTTTTTATTAAATGTTTTATTCATTAGGATTACTGTTTTGGTAACAATGAAGCAATTTGACACCCCCCATCCCAACCCCCCCCCCCCCCAAAAAAAAAAAAACCGAGTGTCGAAAAGTTGAAAACGGCAATAATTAATATCCCTTTATTGCCAGAGGTGACCAATAACCACGCTCCCTGCTTAGTACTAGTCCTATGCCTCACTCAGGCTTTACAGCCTTACCTACACATTCACAGCAGTGCCAACCGCCGTCTCAGCAGGCGGCGCCGGCCGGGCGGGATTATATCCAACTTGAGTAGTCTCGGGATGACTGCTGGTCGGCGGGTTAGTTGCCATAGGCGCCGAGATGTTTCTGTTTGGCCTTGTTTTTCATCATCTTGGTCAGCCTGTCATGATCTCTGTCTAGATACCTTCAGTTTACTGCCAGGGTACCCCATCACTTACGGTGGCTTGCTCTTGCTCCAATACCGGCTGACGATGATGGCACCCAGGATGGCACTCAAGAGATACGCAATGGACGCCATAAAGGAAAACGCCAGCACAGCCCTGAAGGCGGCGCAGCCCGGAGCAGAGTACCAGCTCCAGGAACGGTCGGGTACAGGTTCGATGTACCACCTCCCCCAGTTCCATCCCCACCAGTTCCAGTACCACCATGAATCGCACATGGCCGAGCCGACTCTCTGTTTTTGTTTTTTTATCAGTCCATAATCATTTTCCCTCTTTGTAATGATGAAATGATCAAGTAAGAGGAGAAGAGAGTGTTTTTGGAGTTTGAAATGGATGAATCACACCCCACCACTTACATTTGCCAGCAAACCAAACGCCACCATCCACATGATAAACATGACGAGGTCGAACGGAGCGGCCAGGAATGCATACAGGAAAGGGGCCACAAAGATTAGCGAAAAGAGCGTGCTGATGGCCGCCGTGATCTCGCCGTAGATGACTCTGCTGTCTTGGTAGATGTCTGCCTGGTTGGCCAAGTAGATGGCCCGACCGAGGATGCCGAGGACAATGACGCTGCAGCAGAGCTCGAACACGCGGAGGAGGACGTGGCAGACGCGCGAGGTCGGGCCCATGGTTGGACGGTCCGTATGGTGCGTGCTTGGGCCCATGATGATGATGGTGATGACGGCTTTTCAAGGTTTTTGGTTTTCTGGAATTTAGGGGCAGGGCAGATCTAGAGTAGAGAACAGTGTCTCACAGCATCCATTGGTGGCATTGAAGATCCATGATTCCCATAGCACGAAGCTGCTATTAATATAAGTTGACGCTTCTTTGTTCGACGTTGTGAGATCATATCGTATCTGATATTTCCCCTTCTTTGTTCAAGTCCCGGGTGCACGATTTTTAGTGAACAGCTCAAAACGGAATAAGGATTTAATGACGACATGGACGTAGGTGTGCTTTTTTTTTTTGGGGGGGGGGGGGGGGGGCGGTTCCGGAAACAGATGTGTGTCCTTCGACGTATCTGGTCCATTGGGAAATGCTGCAAACAGCTTTACGGTGAAATGCTGAGGTTAGTCACAGATAACAACATCAAGAATGTATTCTCTTTTTCCTCAACAGACGCTTGAACAACGTTGTAAACAACCAGGTTTCCACTGCCTCACGGCAACAATAACCACAACACCGTCGTAGGCAAGGATGCCATTTTATACTACCAAGACTAGACGATGTTATACTAGGAAAGCAATCCAATGGCACCAAATAAGGTGGAAACAGGGAATGGCAAGTAAAGGTGACGGCCACTTCGTGGACGCGAATTGGGCCGGACTTGGGAGTCCGACCCACAACCTAGTTAAAATTTAACAGAGAATCCCTTAACAAGAGATGCTCTAGCGTTGAGCTAGCCGGGTTTTATTATATGAAGCGGGAGTTCCAGAGTCCTGCTGTTGATTGTGCGGATCTGGATGTGGGTGTGTGTGATGTGTGTGTGTGGAACTGCGCTGCGGCATTTTACACGCAGCGGTTATGGAAAGTTTGACCTAAGATGAGTGTGCGTGGGGATGATGAGGCAAAAAGGGACCCCTAGCGTTGAAAAACAATCAGCGTTGACAGGTCCACCTTTGAGAAAAGACAAAAAGATGAGGTGTATGCTCAACCAAAAAAAAACTAAAAAAAAAACTGCTATTAGCCCTCGAGTTACTAGATATTGTCTATAAGTTGACGTTGGCTTTAACCACATGGAACAATCTTCAAGAGAAGGTTAGGGATATGCTGAGGATTCCTTTGTAAATAAAGTAAACCATAGCACGCGATTTATTTAGGTTTTATAATAAATGAAAAAACCAAAAGGGAAATAACAATAAAATTATCATCAAACCATCCGTTTAAAATTTGATGTCGAGATACTTAGCAGAGTAACTCCCAGCTGAGGGAAACAGCAAAAAAGTAATCACAGAGATAAGACACCGCTCGGTGGAGATGGTCTGTTTTGGACGAGCCCGGAATCGAACCGGGGACCTTCCGCATGCTTGAGCTTCCAAGCTAGAAGCCTTGCTAAGCGGGCGCTCTACCAACTGAGCCACACGCCCTTGGAGTGATATTATTGGTTATTCTCGTGACAGATCAGCCCCTATGTGTCAAAAAATAAGTCTGTCCCAGTTTTAGATTATCTTTGGTGCCACTTTTGTGAGCCCATCTGAATCCTATCATGACACTGCTGCATGTTCTACTTGTTAAAAATCAAGCCACCTTTGGGTTGCTTTTGTAGGACTGCTCAGGATTAACTAATTATTGCATGCTCGGATCCTCGAATTACGTGATGCAATGGAACGTCGCGGTACTAGTAGCGCCCAACATTACATCGAAACCTCCTCCAAGAATTTCAAGACTCAAAGAGGTCCAGGACATCTCACAAATCAGTCTCTCAGAAATGGCGGAGACAACCAACTCAGACTATGACCTTTCAAAACCGATCGATTCCAACGGTGTTGGTCTCCGGCAAAAGTTGGCATCCTATGGCGATCCGCACTTCTCCCTCTTTATGCGGAAGCTTTTCATAAAAGCTCTCGGGTACAGTGAAGATGCTCTCTCCCGGCCCATCGTTGGCATTGTCAACACATATTCCAGCTTCAACCCCTGCCACGCCAATATTCCGCAGCTCATCGACGCCGTGAAGCGAGGAGTGCAACTGAGCGGGGGGCTGGCTATTGACTTTCCAACCATAAGTCTCCACGAGTCTTTTGCTTCTCCGACGAGCATGTACCTGAGAAACTTGATGAGCATGGACACTGAGGAGATGATCCAGGCACAACCAGTCGATGCCGTTGTGTTGATCGGAGGTGAGCCAAACCCACCGGATTCGGAAACCTGCCCCACACCCCCCCCCCCCCCGAACAGCTTTTGACTTGGCTAGGTTGTGACAAGACGACGCCCGCCCAGTTGATGGGAGGCATTTCAGCCAACAAGCCCATCATCCATCTCGTGACCGGTCCCATGATGCCTGGCAGCTTTCAGGGCGTCCGGATCGGCGCGTGCACCGACTGCCGCAACAACTGGGCCAAGTTCCGAGCAGGAGCCATTGACATTGAAGACATCAGCGCTCTCAACGAGGAACTCGCTCCAACCGCCGGAACATGCGGTGTCATGGGCACGGCATCGACCATGGCCTGTATCCTCGTTGCGCTCGGCCTCATGCCCATCTCCCTCCCCAGCGCCACCGCTCCAGCTGTCTCTTCTGCTCGGCTCAGAGTGGCAGAAGCGACAGGCACCATCGCCACCTCGCTCGCCACATCTCAGCTCCGCCCTCAGAGCCTGCTGACCAAAGAGTCCTTCCTCAACGCCATCACGGTTCTTCAGGCGATCGGCGGCTCAACAAACGCCATAGTCCACCTCATGGCCATCATCAACCGGCATCCAACCCTCGCCGGCACAGTGACCCTCAAAACCGTCGACGAAATCGGCCGCAACGTCCCTTTGCTCGTCGACCTCAAACCTTCGGGCAACAACTACATGACCGATTTCCACAACGCAGGCGGCATGCTCGCGCTTTTGCACACGCTCAAACCCCTTCTTCACCTTGACGCCTTGACAGTTACGGGCAAAACGCTGGGCGAGGAACTCGCCGCTGCGCCTTTCCGCCCTTTGCCGCCGGGCACCGAGCTCTCAAACATCATACACCCCCTGTCGTCACCTTTGTACCCTTCTTCTTCTCTTGTCGTCCTGAGCCAAGGCAACTTGGCCCCCGGCGGTGCGGTACTCAAAGCCTCTGCATCGAAACATCGACACCTGCTCTGCCACCGCGGCAAGGCGGTAGTGTTCAGGGGCTCCGCCGACCTGGCCGAGAGAATCGATTCCCCGGATTTGGAAGTGGACAGGGACTCGGTTCTGGTGCTACAGAATATCGGGCCGGTAGGGAACCCGGGAATGCCTGAGGCTGGACTGATTCCCATTCCCAGAAAACTGGCCGAACAGGGCGTCCTGGACATGTTGAGGATCAGTGACGGGAGGATGAGCGGGACAGCGGGGGGCACGATTGTGCTGCATGTGAGTCCCGAGGCCGCGGACCCAGGATCGGTGTTTGGGATACTGAGAGACGGGGATGTGGTGGGGATTGATGTTGAGCACAGATGGCTCGGGGTTGAGCTGAGCGACGGCGAGATTGAGATGAGGATCGGGGAGAGGAAGAAAGAGGCAAGGGGGGTATGGAAGCAGAGGGAGACGGTTAGGGGTTACAGGGGGTTATACATGCGGGAGGTCAACCAGGCCGAGCAGGGCGCCGACTTTGGCTTTTTGACTGCTGCTGGACCGCAAGTTCACGATTCGCTGTGATGTTGGGTGATAACACTAGGTAATCAGAAAATTTCCAGCATCTGGAGGAATGGATCGGAGAAATACTTTATGTTGATGCCTGGACAACCGTAACGGGAAGCTAGGCTCACATTTCGGCTAGATCCTCCCCCTTGTAGTGTCTGAATCCTTTCCGCTTGCCAAGAAGCTTCCTGTCGCCAATCACAGAGATCACAGAGCTGCCCCCAAAAAAATATGCAACCTGTTTAGGTAGTGTTTCATGATTCTCCAGGGGCTGGAGAGTCAACTCTTTGTGGCTCTACTGTGGACCTTGATGATTGACGTGGCTTGACCGAATCTCCATCCCCGGTGATGATCATTTTAGCGTCGTCATGTTGGCGATTGCGGGTGGTTTAAAGACAAGCTTTGCCCCTTTGGTGCCCGAGTAATGGCCGATATGTTCATTTACTATTATCAGACATCATTGAGAGCCTGCTGCTGTTCACGAGATGGCGACGAATTCGGATCCGCATTACTACTATTATTCACCCAATCCATCATACTCAGCCGCGTTCCAGGCAGATGGCGCTCCCACCTCAACTACTAGTACGCAACCATCTAGCGGCTGTGTCGGTTTCGAGGGGAACCCCGTGGCAACGCAACCCACCTTTCAAGTTCCCCTGCTGAAGACCGAGAATTCATTCTACTCCAAGCATACCGTCAGCACTGCTTGCTACACGACAGAGCAAAATGAATGCAGGCTGGTGCCAGGATGGCCGCAAACGCCCCTGATGCTGCCCGGGTTCAGCAAGTCGACGATGATCTCCATTGCAGGAGACGTGATACTTTGGGGAGCGTGGGCCACTCTGCTCACTTTTGCCATCGCTATCGCGCGAAGCAACGGCGTCGCCGATGTCAACGTCATACTCGGCGAAGTTGTTCTCACGCAGGCGGTTATTATAGTATGCGAGACTTAACGTTCCAAGTTCAGGTTTCGGTTCTTTCTCTAATTCGAGCGGATAGATCCCCACGGTATTTCCCATCCTTTTTGCAGTTACCATCGGCCGCTCTGTGAAGCTCATAGCCATGTATCGCGCGGAGCAAGGAGAAAAGCTTGGCGTTCTGGATCGGCTGATCGGGAGCACAACGTTCATGGGCACGCTGATCACTGGCATAACGACTGGTCTCTCGAGTTCGATTTGGATAACCTTCGTCCTGCTCTTGATGTGGGCGCTGTCTCCCCTCGGCGGCCAAGCATCTATCCGGTCTTTCCACTGGGAAGCAAACACGACCGAGACGGCGGGCACGTTCACCTACTTCAGCTCCAACAACACTTTCAACATTCAAACCACGTACGGTAGCACTCAAGCCATAATAACCTCTGGAATGGCCTCACTGCTTTTGGCCTCGCTTATTTCTCCCAAGGAGTCAACGGACGCAGCCATGGACCTTTGGGCCAACGTCAAGATTCCGTCAGTCGAGGCTCTAGCAAATTCCGGATTCCCAAAGGTCAACGGATGGTACGAGGTCGATCCACAAACTAAGAATCTCACGACGGGACATTGGTCCTCGCTACTGGAATTCCCGTAAGAAGAAGCAATCCGGCCGACCAGGTCTATAGTAATTTCTCCTTGGAGACGTCTTACTGGACTCTCAGCTGCCAGACCTTGGGGACAGCGAGCAAGGTCCTCGACGGATTAAAACAGTCTGGTACCAACTTTGTTCAGCACAACCTGACCGATGGCGTGATGCAGGTATGGGCCGCAGACAGAGGGGATATTCGCTCCAAGCAAGATTCGCAACTGTTAGAAGCCCGACAGCTTGCTTTCGCGATTGGACACACACAGCCGTTTACTGCGGGTTGTTTCCTCCAAACAACCTACGTCGAGACTGAAGTGTCATGCATCTATTCGGTGTGCTTCGCCACAAGAGTTAGAGAATCCGCCAAGCCGCACCCGGTGCAAAATTACACCTGGCTCGATGACGAAGACTGGTTGGTGAACAACAACCAGTCCGCGTACATCTACAGCCTCGTCAACGCGCTTCCGGGTCGGTATGCGTATCCGTCAGTCGTTTCCAAATACATAGCTCGAAGGCTCGGCAATAGCAACCAGGAGGACCTGCTGGGAGCGGCCCAAGCCAACCCAGAAGGGTTCTCGTTCACTCTGTCTCAGATCTTGAACACCTTCTGGACCGCTTCTACGGGGTCTGATTACGTCGTGGACTCCCAGGGAGCAAACTACTCGGCAGCCGTTATCGCGCGCCAGGATCCCGAGTCCAAGGCTATCCCCCTCAACTTTGAGGACACGGGAGCTACCTGGTGGTCAGGAGAGCCGATATTCACATGCTCCATGCCCTGGTTGGTTTTGCTCTTTGTTGCGGCCTTGCTTCCGCTTGCCGCCTGCATGGTCAACCTCGTCCTGGCAACAATTATCATCCAGGGTCCGACGCTTTCAATGAACTTCACTACTCTTACTCGAGATAATCCGTATGTTCCCGTGCAGATGAATGGATCGGCCTTGAGCGACAATCATCGTAGCAGACTTCTCAGGAATGTACGAGTGAGGTATGGCGATGTGGCAGGCGATGAAGACGTCGGACATGTTGGGCTTGGAGTGATGAATGACACGCATGGAGTGACTGGACCGAAAGTGTTGGAAAAAGATACGAATAGGTTTTATGCTTAGGTAGATTACGAGACTAGATAGTGACCCAGGCATAGGACATGAATCATAATTATAATAATCGTACTTTCATCGTGAACAGGCGCAAGCACCTACCTACTTCCCGATCTACCTAAAAC